GAAAATATACATGTTGAAATAGAAAATATACATGTAGATATTATATATACAAATACATATATTCAAAAATATGACATATGGAATATGGAATACTTCTTAAGATGATACCATCTTAAGGAGTATTCTCTCAGTGCAGATGCCGTCAGCTGCTTATTCATATTCTTACAAACACAGGACATATCTCTGTGGTGTTGCTAGTGGCACAAAGCTGTGTCCTCCATCTTTCCTAAACACTGTTATTGTACCCGTAATAGCTATACATAAAAAACCCTCAGGTACTGACAAATACTTTATTGGGTAGGGTACAATATGAGTTTTATTGGTTTCTACTTCCATTAAAGCCTGCAATGCATGAGTGTTTAGTCTTAGGTAACCTATACTTAATCAATGTTTGACATAACTCATGAATAATGTTTGATACATTATGTAATATCATTCATTTTGGCAGGGTATACTTTCCATGGTCACTTTCTAATTATAGGATCTGCATTTAAAATTGTATTTTTTGTGTTTACAGGCTGATAATATTCACATGTTGTGCTTTTCTTTAATTAGTTAGCAGTCTGGAGTTTGGATGTATGAACCGCAGTGGTGTTCCACAACCCCTTTCATGGCTGCTTTAAAAAAAGAATATCCTGTTTACTATATTCTGCCTCTCTTACAATAAGTCAATGCTCGACAGCACATTAGATGCACTTCTCTCATATAGAGTACCTCTCTCTGTTTTATACTTTTATTTTAAACTCCCTAAGCCTTTGAATACTCATATTAACAGAGAAGGAAACAAACACATTAAGGCGAGCTGGGGACATGTTCCCTCTCTGCTTCCTCTCAGGCAACACGTGTCTGAGACTTGTGGCATTTTATGAGAAATGAAAGGGCCTGTATAAATAATAAATTACAAATGGATCAATTATACATGAAAAGGCGAATCTAGGAAGCTGGTACTTCCAGGTGCAGCTACTACTTTTACTTTAACCTTAACAACTGGCAGATCACAACTCATAAAGAGGATGAAAGAAATGCCATTGCCAGGAACTAACTCCGGTTAAGATATAATTGTTTCTACACTGTGCATTCATATCTATGCGTCATTCATCTACTCAACCATTGCAATTATGTGAATGCACTTTGCGTCTCAAAGAAAGATCAACATGTACATTTTATTCTGTATGAAAAACCAAGGTGAAAGATTTCTCTATGTTTCTATTACATTTTACATTCACATATAAATGTCTTACACAAAAATGCTTTTTGTTTTATGTTCTTCTTATTGTGTAGGAAGTTGTTTAGCTGACTAAAAAGTGCTTTTGAAGCTGTTACTTTTCAAAAGAATATCTTTCAATTCAGAGGTCACATTAAAGGTTATTTCATAAATGCGTATGATATATATGATGATTTACTGTATAGTGTAATGAAATGCTGAATGAGTTTAAACACTTCCCAAATGTTTATATTGAAGATGTCTGGCACAAATGGGGACAATAAGAACAACACAATTACTGCATCTCTATTATAAATGATAACAAACTATATAGTTATTGCAAATGCAATTTGGCAAAAATAATGCCTTAATGAAATGATGTTAAGAATGTCTTATCAATTCATGTGTTTTAAGATGAATAGAGCCAAGATAAACAGGTGAAGCATTTTTACACCACCCTAAAAAGTGCTAAGGCTTTAAAAGCTGTGCTTGAAATGAAAGCTTTAGCGCAAGTTCAATAAGGAAGACCTAACACGAGGCACTTACACGTCACTCTATGGCTCCCTTCCCCCCTCATTAAATACGAGGGCGTCACCCCTCAGCAGCCAATCGCTGCACATGCTAAATTCCTTAAATGCCTGCTCTTCCTCCCTGTCAGTTGTCATTGCAGATGATCACATGCAACCCGCCTCCACCCCTCTCGCCTCCCGTCTCCTTCAGGACAAAGCTAAACCTTCCTCCTTCAGACCGGTCCCACCTACTTGTCTAGACCCCGGGGATTTCATCGGAGCGGTTCTTTCCCTCCTGAATGATTATCCTGCAAACCGGGGCCTAATCGCCAAACACCATTACATTCTCCTGTTGTATTATCGTGGCAATCATTTCATTCATATGACGTGTAAACAATAAATATGTAATTCTTACATCACGTCTCTCCGGTTTGAACTGTATTTGGTAAAAAACACATTTCCCAAATAAAGGGTTCAGTAGGATTTTACAAAAACAGTAAAAATGTATTTCAAGAATTGCATGTATCATCTCTCTCCCGATGATCCAACTACCCATTTTCTAGTCCTCCTGTGAGGCATGTCTGTAATAACAGCTGTCGAGTGGAAGAGCTATTAAAATCAATTTACAGTCCTGTATCACAGCAACGAGAGAGAACGGCACAATCAGACAGAGAGAGAAGATGAAAAAAGCCCCAAAGGGTCCATGGATGGCATAGAGAAGAGAGGTGTTTAAAGGACATTAAAAGCTATGCACTTACACTGCTCAAGTCAATGTTAAGGAGATGTTAGAAATAATCACGCTAATGGTACGTGTACTCGGGGGCATTGTTGTAAGTGAGGGGCCGCACTGCTTCACAGAGTTGTACATTTGATGGGCGAACGCTCTTAGTCATAGGCTGGTACTCTTAAGGCGTCACTGGCATGCAAAAATATTTTGTCTATAATAATAAATAACACTTAACAACAATAATCTCGACACTCTTTGGCACAAGGTGCAGAGTTGCATCCCTTGTCTTTGTCACACTTGCCCCAGAAAGCCAATCAAATCAATCAGCAATGAAGAGTTACTAATGGGTCATACGTTTTAGTAGAACTGGTTAAATATCACAACAGGACTTTTTCTTCACCGGTTACATACATGCCTAATTATGAGTCTTATGCTATCCTAGATTTGTAAATATTAAAAGAATAAAAGCAAGGCAGCATCACAGTGGCTGAACCTAAACTTCGAGACAGCGAGAGAGACAGAGAGACCTTGGCTGTGTCCTTGTTGATGTAAGTAACACAGTAGCAGTCAAAGGGGTTGAAATCCAAACCCTACCCTGAGGTTGACTAGCCAGCCGGCGACACCCTGTCCCCTTTGTGTGTGTGTGTGTGTGTGTGTGTGTGTGTGTGTGTGTGTGTGTGTGTGTGTGTGTGTGTGTGTGTGTGTGTGTGTGTGTGTGTGTGTGTGTGACATCTGACAAGGTCTTTTAATATTTAAACATTGCTAATAGGGCGGTGTATGGCGCAGTGGATTAGTGCGTTGGTGTTGGGATCAGGGGGTCACAGGTTCAAACCCCACTGCAGTCAGCATGTTGTTGTGTCCCTGGGCAAGACACTTCACCCCAAATTGCTCCTGTGGAGATTGCCCACAGTATTGAGTATGTAAGTCGCTTTGGATAAAAGCGTCTAACAAGTAACATGTAATGTAAACTAATGTAATAGCCAAACTCCTCTCACCTTTTGTTATTTTTAGGTCAAATGTTTTTGCTTCAAACTTTATTTTGGGGTGTATGGACTATTCGGCTCACTTTTTCTGACTTTGTGCTGACCTTTTCTAGCAATAATGAAAATATTGGTTAGTTGCAGCCATGCTTTTAACCCATGTAGCGCACAGATTCAGGATTATTTCCTAATGGACCTGTGCATATTTCTTGTGTGTTGCTGCATCAACAACTATGCTCGGATGACACGTTCATAAAACCAAGCGCCTCTATTTTTTTAATGCAGATTGTATTAGTACCTCATACCTTCTTAAAGATCAGAATAAAAACATAAATTAAATAAATAAGAATAATCTGTTTTTAGGTGATAAAACAGATGAGTATACCTTTATCAACACTCTCTTATATCTTTAGTGATTCACTGCAAGGTACTTCAACTTAATAGAGTACTTAAATGGTTAGTTTTAGCAACAGCAGGACAGAAAGTGCAGGTTTATTTATCTGCTCGCACTGTTTGTGTTTATTGATAATACACCAGCTTTGTGTTCCGATAACTATCAACCACAATTTCTTTTTGGACAGATTCACAAAGCAGTCAGAAAGGGTGTGGTCAGGTGGGATTAGAGACTCCTGCTGATGTTTTATTAAATTACTGTCGTGAAAATGGAGGCGATGCAGCCACAACACAAGCTTCAGTGTCTGGGAGGCTTCCGTCTGAACACTTTTAAAGTATAACCGACTTTGGCATTTATTGACTCATAATACTGTCCAAGCTTGTTGATTAAATAAAATAAAAACAGTATGAATCAGGTTAGTGCCGTGTACTGCTATAGCATATAATATATTAGTAAGATATGAATATATAAAATAAAAATGCTCAAATGAGATTGTATAGACTTAGAAAAACACATATAACCACAAGCCAAGTGAGGAGTAACATAGCATAACATGCACTTTATGGAATTAGTCTCTTTGCAAACTTTCCTTTTAGTTTGTCGATGCCTCATTTCAGCACTGACTTAACAAAAACTGCAGTATTCAGTGTTTGAACACAGTTATACTTCCTTACTTCTTACTGCCGTTTTACAGGTTGATCATTTCTAATCGTCATTTCAAAACTCATCTGTAGTAATCAGATTAATCATCAGACTAATATTTCATTAATTCCAGCGGTCAGAAAAACAGAAAAAACGTCCTCAATATCAAAATGTAGATGTGGAAATAAGTGGGTATTTCTTGCCCTGCATGCGAGAGATGAATGTAGCTTCGGGCCACACTGCAGACTTCAAAGCAAAGATATGCAGCGAGGAAATAAGCCCGCCGCACTGGCAGCATAAAATATTGCGGGGGTATTTCTGCACGTGTTATGTTTATCTTTCAACCAGGCGCCACACATGCATGCAAATGTATGTGCAATAATTAGGATACCTTCACTTATGAGTGTATAAGATAAACTGAATGATTAAAGTTATTGTTTTCAGTCTATACCTTCATTATATGTATTATGATTGTTTTTTTTATAATTGTGTCGAGCGAAATGTCTTTTAATGCCGAAAATGAGTCCATGCATACTGATCTCACCTGGCTGCGGTGCTCAGAGGGGGTGAGGGGGGGCTGAGCCGTGGAGCTGCCTACTGCCTGCAGGCTGGGAGCAGCTTTATGTTGTAGCCTGAAGTCATCGATGCCTTCAGCGCAGTCAAAGTTACTCTTCCACACCATTACCTGTAAGATGTATTCAAATCATTCAAAGTCAACAAACCAATAATCTAATTTACAAATAATGAAATGCACGACATACATACAGATTTGCTTTCTCTTTGTCAAAGTAAAAGGTAGAATTCAGACGTTTTGAAGTGAGGTTGAATGAGGTGCATAGTCAAAGTCAGTGTATTATCTACAGTAGTTGGCTAAGCTAACAGAATGTATGGCCAAGCAATGTACTGCTGTGGATCGGGGCAGCTGCAAACAGTTTGAGCGTACACTAAATGTAGAATATTTTCACTGCAGTCGGACAGTAGTGTACAGACTTTGGTTAGTTCAGAATCATCAAAGTCATACAAAAGCACTAACTAACCGATCGAGTAGACCAGTCCAAACTTTTTTCCCAGTGGGCCACATAGAGAAAAACATACAAAGGGCTGGGCCACTCACTAGAGGTGAGGTATACTGCCTCATAAGTTAAGTTATAAGTCAGCGAAATCAATCAAATGTAGGTAAATTACGCTTAATACTTGAATATGCTTTAAGAAAAACAACAGCCTACATCACAGCTCTCCATAGGGTTTACTTTATTTTGTTGGCAGCTCATTCCTTAAAACAGGAGCCTCAGATTGCTTATCATAAGAGGAAATAGGAAGGGTTTATTTCAAGCTTGTTATGAAAATAAGTTATTGGACTTTTTTCTTATCAACTTAGATTTGATAGAAAATGTTTTCAACTTGAATTGACTGAATTAGTTTGAAGAGCGGGCTTCTTAACACATTCACACAGTGTAATATCTGTTTTCATATATATTTAAGAAGTACAATACAAGACAAGCACAAGTTTCATTTTTGGGCCATACTCCATTATACTTTTTGAATTAGCTGAGGGCTGATTCAAAATGTCCCGCAGGCCGCTTTGGCCCCCGGGCCGTAGTTTGGACATCCCTGGAGTAGACCATCAATTCCTGTGCTATGTATGATTACTTTTGGTCAATGTAATCAGGATGCTTTGAAGAGATCGTTAATAAGGGCTTCATTACCTCATCTGAAAGGACTGTCTTACAGCAACGTAAAGTAGAGAAAATATTCTAAAAAAGCCTTCACTTAAAGTAATATTGATCTTTTCTGTAGGTGGCTATATTTGGCTGCTGCCTCAGCACAGCAGTACGTTGCTTAGTGGCTTGCTTTCTGCTGTAAGTGATACACCGACTATGGATAGCACCTCATACAACATCATTTTAAAACATCTGCAACCCCTAAACTCATTTTCATTCATTCTGTTTTCTAAATTGGCAATAAACCTTTTGGTAATTAATTGTATAAGGACAGCAAATAATAAGACTATTTATTAAACAAAAACTGGTTGATTTTGAAGGATCATCAAGAAAAGGTCATCACCTGCTCATCAGAACCTCCAGAGGAGAAATACTCTCCTGTTCTGGAGAAGGCCACACAGGTCACTGGACCCTGATGGAGGGGAAAGAGAAACAGACAAATATTATGATTTAAATAATACTGTCTGTGGGTTTTGTACTGTTGGTCCGGAAATACATTTAATAATGTTACCTTGAGCTTTGGAAAAACCATTTTTAATCACTTATAAATAAGAATACTTATAAACACTAGGCAGGGCACATTTAAATAAATCAATAATTAAAATAATAGTTACTTGCAGCCTTTTAGAAATGAAACAATCCCTGTGAAAGTAGTGAAGTCTGTCTGTGTGATGCATTCGGACCATTCAATAAACTTCAAACCTTACATACATTACCTTTGAAGTTCGAACCTTATGATTGTATTTCTGCAGTTTACATACATGTCTGTCCAACATTTCATTAATATATCATTTTATCCTTTTAGATATTTGTGTAAAATTGTCTTAATTAGCGTATACATTTTTGAGAAATGACCAAAAACATTCTTTGTGAGGTCAATGTGTCCTCTGACCTCCAAAATCTATTCAGTTCATCCTTGAGTGCAAGTACAGATTGTGCCAAATTGGGAGTAATTCCTTTCAGGCATCCTGAGTTAGGGCTTTCACAGAAAGGGTACGGACAGACCAGACAACATGAACAACGTAATGTCACAAGCCAGATGGACACTTCGAAATACAGTTAGGTTAGAAGTTATTATAAAATGTACGATAAAGAGAAGAGAACCGGAGAGGTGTTTTTGTGTATGTAGCTCATAGCATTTAGGAAACTTAAAGCCGACAACAAAAGCTACTGCATGTGCATGTGTGTGTGTGTGTGTGTGTGTGTGTGTGTGTGTGTGTGTGTGTGTGTGTGTGTGTGTGTGTGTGTGTGTGTGTGTGTGTGTGTGTGTAGGAGGGAGTGGGTGTGTGGGGCAGAGCAATCAATAACAGAAAGCTAAGACTCAGGTGAGGTGAGGTCACACCTGGTCAGAGCCAAAAAGGAACACCTGCAAGTGTCAGAACTGTTGCATGCTGTGTGAGTGAGTGTGCCTGTGTGCCTGGAGCGCAGACAGAATACAGCTTGAAAAACTCAAAGATCACACTCCTTTTTATCTTTTTTCCATCTCACAATGCAGAACGGGGTTAACGATAAAAGTCTGAGCCCCCTGACTGTGATCAAAGAGAGAAAAAGGAGAGAACAAACTAGAGAAAGGAAAATAAACTGATGCTGGCCAGCAAAGAGGAGCTGTGTGTCCTGCGGCTGGCATCCAGACAGGCTGGTTTGGGTGAGGAATGGTTTCCCAGAAGCACCTGAGAGAAGCAGACAGTGTCACTATGGCAACACGACGGCCTGACAGACAGCATGTTCTGTCTCGACTCTGACTAACGCCTGCTGCCAGGCTGGCACTTGCACACACACACAGGCTGCGAACCTGACTGGCCTCCACATGCTGCTCTCCATAATTTCATGACTGACAAAAACAATGATAATCTTGCACTTGTTGACTTTTGTCGCTGTAATTTTTTTAAATAAGTGTGAATCTGTTTCTCAGTCTGCGTCGTAATAAAACATGATGCGGTGGTCTTTTAAATGCTTTTAAATCATTAAAACGTCGACTTGAGTATGAATTTCTCCAGGTATGATGAAGTAAAGAGAAGGACAGGCATTCCATTGAAAAAGGACCAGAAGCATTAGTATCAGATTGAGTATTATCTAACACGCTAAAGTCACACATTAGGACATTGGAGAGAAAATAGGCTAAGTATATCACTATACATCTACAGGGGTGTATTGCAAGCTAGTTCTCAGGTTACCAAATAAGCCAGTCCTAAGAATTGGGGGGAAAAAAATGTCTTAAGATGTTTTTCAATTCAACCCGTATTATATAGAGAACTTACTTAAAGAATAACTCTCACTAAAGAGTGGGCAGTTTGTGTGCTTAACATTAGCTGTGAGTATAAAGTTAGCAGTAGCGTTATAGCTGTAAACGTGGCAGTGCAATGTGTGTGTATAGTTTATTTGTCAGACTAAACTATAGACACACATTGCCTCAAGATAAGTTTCTATGTCTTGCTTTCTATCTGCTGATATAAGTGTAAGGGGTTAGCCCTGAAGGTAGCAACTACTTCGGGTCAGGCTCACTCAGGGTTGGCTGGCCTTTAAAGTAGACCAGCTCTTCTTGTTTCAGTGTCCAGCTGCTCCTCCAAATATGCTCAGAACAGAAAGACAAATGAAGCTAAAACAGGCTGATTCTGTCCTGCCAGGTACACAGGTAACCCCTGAGGCGAAGAAAACAACAGGAAACATACTCCCTCAGTGCCTTCATGTGTTTCCATATACAGCACATGCACATAGCTGTACACACATACATCAACAAACCGACACATAAACACACGTAAACCTACACACCCACACTCGAGCTAAGCGACTGGAGAGACAATTAACACCCTGAGCGCTCCCAGCACCAACAGATTGGCGACGTCACCACTGAGCCAAAAAAGAACAACAACAGAAACGAAGAAAGAGATTAGGAGAAGACAAATTTGGAGGTGTGAGGCGAGGAGGGGAAAGGGTGTTTTTTTTATCTTGACGAAAGAGTCTTGGCAAGCAGTGGGTGACACAGACAAGACAAAGAAAGGAGAGGCATGCAAAGTCTACAGAGGGATGGGTAAACAGATGGACCACATGTGGCACTGGCAAGCCACCGATTCCCACAACTAGCCAGAAAGTCAGTCCATCAGCTGTTCAAACAAATAGATAGTCAGTGAGCGACTGGTCCAGACTGTCGACATGGGCGTTAATAGAGAAGTACAAGGAGTACTTGTACTTCATCGTTAGGATGATAACGATGGTGACGGTGCTTTTCAAATTAAAAAGGTCTTGAAATCGACTAAATGTTATATATTCTGTTGAGTTGTCTAATTACATTGTCCTAAATGCTTCCAACTATTTTCACATGTAAAGTTACTTTTGATTAACGGTTGGTTTCATTTATTCAGCTTAAATGGCGTGGCATGCTTCAGTGTTGTGGAGTTAAGAAGCTTTCATAAATTGAACGTTTATTCATTTCAAGCCACACGTTTTGGTATACTTTTTAGATCTTGGACGTTTTTAACTGCATATTTGAACCAGATGAAGGAATATAGTCATAGGACTCATATTCTTCTGAGAAATAAGATGAGCAAACATTCTAGGCAGCAAAGACACGTCAGAGAAAGAAGAATTTTTAACCAGTGTTTTTTGTTTGGGTGCCTTTCTTTTGAAGAGGATGAGACCTCTGCTGATAATTAGGCTCTTAGTAAAACCCTCATGAACGATGAACAATGAATCATCATAACCAGAAGAATTTGACTGCAATGGCGGCGAAGGTGGTGAAGACAACATCTCCCATGATTCCACGCAACTTCAAGACACCATCAAACTGTATTTTGTTATTGTTTTTGATAGAATGCTAGTGGCAGGAATTTACACATTGTACGTTTAAGTCAGTTAAAAAGGAAAGGACCGAAACCAGAGAGACAGAGGAAGAGAGGATGAGGAGGACAGGATCAAGCAGAACGGAGGCAGAAACACACTTCTGTTTCCTTCCAACAACCCTGAGATGAGTCATCATGAGTGGGCCGTCCGCTCGCCTGGCAAGTAATAAAATATACCATGTACAAAAAAAGCCATAATACACTCACACGCATGTCATAATAAAAAATGGACAAAAGAGATGTCAAACACATACACATGCAGACGCCAACAGCAGACGGAAATGACCCATCATGATCCTGACTGGAAGGCCTGTAGGAAATCTAAACGGTGTGTGTGTTTGTTTGTGTGTGTGTGTGTGTGTCTACCTGGTGTCCATGCAGTGTGTACAGTAGCTTGCCCTCTACAAGGTCCAGTATCTTCATTGTGGAGTCACTGGATGCAGTGATGAGGAAATTACCAGCCGGATGGAAAGACAAGCTGTTCACCACACCGCTGTGAACTGGAAAACACATACAAACTCAATGACAGGACACACATTTTGTTACTGTAATTCAAACTGAAGTGGAACCTTCTAGAATTAAAGACAACAAATACCATCCCATTGTTGTTCATTTGGCTTTACTGTATTGTGTCGCTTTTAATGTTCAAATGTTCTGCCTGTAAAATAATGGAGTATTGAATGCATGATTAAATCATGATGACAGTAACAATGACTTGTCCATCCATACTATATAAGGTATGTTTCTTTCCCTTTTCTCTCTAAAACTGCACCTCAGAGGAACATTGCTGTGATTTTAACACCTAAGGGGCATTGTTGAGTTCAGTTTCTTGCTCAAGGACACTTCAGCTGGCCAGATGTTTGCTAACATTGTTTCCTGGATCCAATTGAAGTGCACTGGTGCTGTATATCACAACGCCTCAGTTGCTGTGTTACTTGAGAATGGCTTAACATCAGGTCTGCATTAGCATATTTGTCAAGTATAGAAGCCTGAAGCAACTGATCAAAACTTCCCCAGACCTGAAATCAATCCACCTTCTGGTAACTGGGTTCTTGAATGAGAAAAGACATTTGACTGGCAACGTGGTCCCTCTGCTGGCTACAAGATGCTATGACATAAGCTAAACTGACGCCTCTGGTCTCGCTGCAACAGGATGAAAAGCTGCACCAAACTATACTGAGAGCAGGAGGGTGATTTCTTTGGGTATGGCTAAGATTCATGAAGGGATAAAGAGCAAAGTATACACCAACATAAAATGAAAGCCATTAAAAAGCAAGGACAAACAATAGAAGGAGAAAGGAAAACTAAACATATTACCAATTACGAATAATTCCCATGGGTATAACAGTAACAACACCACATGTTAGCCACAATGTTATACTCTAGGCTGGTGTATTTGGTGATTTACTATAGCATGTAAAGTGAAGCACTGTGGAAAGGAGGAGGAATGAGAGGAGAGGGGAAGCTTTTATCTTCATGCCCCAGCTCCTCAGACACAGATGTGATTATCCATTATTAGATTTCACAACTCAAATCCATTTAAGAGAGCCGATAAGAACAATCACACTGAAAGGCAGACTGACAAAGAGGCATCAACATTCGGCTTATTGAATATGCAAGGATTCTTGATTACCACTTTAGTCGTGAGCTTTAAATCTTCATTTTTACTTGGTGTTATTTCAGTAGTTTGCTGTTTTTTTCACTGTGTTTAAAAGTGAGGCCTTACTTTAGCTGTATTGATTCTGGGAGGGACTGGATGACAAGACGTTTACTGTTTTCCATATAAGACATGTTTCTCTCAACACTGGGCTGTGGATTTACTGTATTACTGATTCAAAATGTCGTCAAATCCTAAAAAAACGCCTGTGTTTAAATATGAAACAATTAGTACAATAGCTATTAAGCATCAACATATGCTTTACTGAGTGTCTTGACCCAAAAAATACATTAAATGCTTACATAAATGTGTGTCTTTGTTAGCTTGGCATTAAAGCTACAAATATGCAGTGATTGAAAGCAAATTGTGGTTTACCGTAGCAATTTTAACTTGATCTGGTAATTACGTTATTATAAAATGTAACACTTCCTTCATATATATGTTGAGATGCCTTTACCTTGGTAGTGCTGGAGCATCTTATGGGATCTGATGTCCCAGACTTTGACAGAGTTGTCAGTACAGGCTGCAGCTATACACGTTCCACTGGGATGGAAGTCCACATGATTTGCATAACTAGGGAGAAAGAAAAAACAGGACATTTAAGAAAATGATGTCTTTGGTCAAGAATTGACAGTACTTCAAATGTATTAATCCAACAGGTTAATTCATTTAATAAGGTTTTTGAAACACCCACCAGAGAAGATGTTCTGCTCTTTGTAAATGGGTTAAACAATGTAAACACACTATACAATAGAGGCTGATGCTTTAAGAATTTTAAATGAATGAGTAGGTGTTCAGTGCCTTGGTGCAAAGAATTGAGAGAACAAATGGTAATCGGATGCGTCACCTTTTTTGCTTAAAAATGTTAATCAACCTAAACATTTCAAAATGTGACAATTATTTCTTCCGAACACATCAGAACATTTATTTCTCATATATCTTTTTTGGTCTCAATTGCTTACCCAGCATGTTCATAGAAAGAATGAATACACTCTCTACTGTTCTTGTCCCACAGCTTTATAGTCTTATCATCACTGGACGATACAATCAAACGATCGTCTGGAGAAAACCTGCAGAAATGTATTGAAGATGATCTTTTAGAAAGAAAGAAGTCAAAATGTGTGTGTGTGTGTGTGTGTTCGTCGTACTTGGCACAGCGGACCCAGTTGATGTGCTGGTTGAGAGAGAAGAGAAACTTTTGTCTGTGGACAGTCCACACTTTGATGGTCTTGTCGTCGGAGGCTGTGACCAGATTCTGCCCGTCAGCAGAAAAGTTTATACTGCGCACGGTGGCAGTGTGCGCCTTGAAAGCTGTTGACTCAGCCTTCCTGTGCACACACACAAACACCAAGACAACTCTAAGTTAAAAAAAACAACTGTTAAAAACAAGTCAGTGTTCTGAAATGTGTGACTTCTTCTGTGTGTTGGCAGAATTAGGGGATTTAGTAAAACTGTGTCGTTTTGTTTTTCTTATGAATCAGCATCATTGTTCTTTGTGGTAGATCGCTAACGCTATACAAAATAATGAGATGATGGAAATGTACTTTAATAGAAAAGGTGGAATACTTCAAACTCACAGGCTGGGCACCCAAAGACGTACAGTCTTGTCTCTGGAGGCAGATGCCACCAGGTGGCCAGAGGGAGAAAACTGAACTGAAGTGACAGCATCTTTGTGTCCATCAAAACGATACGCCCTCATCTGAGGTTTCATGTTCCAGATCATCACACTTGAGTCCATAGAGCCTGTGGCTGGAAGAGGGAGAACAGGTGTGTAAACTGAACAACACATTTGGATGACGATGCAGGAAACATATCACACAATGAAAAAAAGAAAGAGAAAGGAACCAGAAAACGGGCAGCATATTCTCTGACCACAGACTGATAAACACACATAAACACATACAGTAATATTAAGTAGCAGTTACCAATTTGTTTCATGTTGCAGCTGAAGTCCACACTTGTAACATTGTCCCTGTGACCCTTGAAATGCCTCTCCAGAGTTGGGTCAGACTAAATGGGGAACAGAGAGACAGATTTAAGCAAGCCACATATTAAAGATGCTGTGGACTTGTTTCAAAGTATTCTTAATAACATTAAACAGTAGTGGGGGGAAAAATCACATAATCATAGATCAAGAGATAGGCGTACAGCTAAGTCTACGCTTTTTTATGGTTGGATAGAATCGGAGGGATGAAACCCTCTTTAATGGTCAGACATGCAGAGCACACAGCACACACTAGGAGCAGTGGACAGCTATTGTACAGCGCCCAGGGAGCAATTGGAGTGGGGGGGGAAGGGGGGTGTCTCCAAGTAGCAGTCCACACTCCATATTTAGGTCTGGTCGGAGACTTGAACCGGCGACCCTACGGCTCACAGTCCAAGCCCTACTGACTGAGCCACTGATGGTTGTAATGATACTTCAAACTTGAGATAAAACCAACTAAATAAAGATACAGCTACATACATTATGTAGCAAAGGGCACAGAGCAAAGTGTCTGTTCACACACACACACAGGCATTTTCAACTTAAGACATCTTTAAAGGAGTAGCTGTTAGTATTACATTGAGTGATGGCTGAATACTATTAACTTCAGATTCAGGCTTCTGGTGTTGTGCATTCGGGCTTACTGTCACACTTACTGGGATACAGGATGGTATTAGTAACACCTGTTGTTTATACAGTAATATTAAATGTCAATGTATCTTATAAAATCAAATAATGATAATAAAAGCATTAATACATAATAATAGGCCTACATTAAGACACTTTTTGTTTTTATTCTGGGAAATTGTGGTACAGCAGTTTAACTACAACGTAGGAAAGAGTGCAAATGTAGAGAAGTTTACAGTTTTACAGTAATTAAAATGTCAAAACACTTTTTTGAACTTTTTTATTAAACCAGTACATTTTCTGCAATATTTACTACAACCGCTGGACGGTGCGGTTTAACTTTGTTGTAGTCTCTAAACCCAGTTTAATTCCAAAGAAACCAATAAATAAACACTCCTTTTGAGGCCTGGGCCCTGGAATAAAGTTGAATTTAGCCGTCAACTGTTGTTTTTCGCTGATTGTTTATGACGGATGAATATGAAACAATTTAGATGTATTGTTTCAATGCATAAATATTATCTTTTAAACGACAACAAAAAAGGAAACGCTTCAACGCGGCGTAAAGCCACATCTTGCTGCTCACCGCGCAACCTGTCAGGCAGCAGTTTTCAAATGTGTACAATCGCAAACAATCTCCACCAATGATTTAAGCTATTTTCTGGTATTGTGTTTGAAAAACGCGCCCTACTTGAGCTAATCGTGGACTTTAGGTCTCTAAATGCGATTTAAAATACTGGACCTGTCTACAGTCTGACAAGAAGTGCTGCCTGAGAAACCTCACTCTGGGTAAAATAAACCTCCCTTCCAGCAGGCTGAGTAACCAAGGAGACGGGGGCTGTGGTGCTAGTCGTTGCTATCCGGTAAGATATCCGTTAAACTCAAGAGGAGGCTGTGGAGGACTCAGGGGGCCTCATGTTTTTGTTTACGGGGTCATTTGTAACATGGCAGAGCTGCACATCATAGGCCAAATCGTAGGAGCCAGTGGTTTCCCACAGAACAGCTTATTTTGTAAATGGGGAGTTCACACGGGAGGAGCATGGCGTCTTCTTTCGGGGCTGAAGGAGGGTCAGACCCAGGTGGATATTCCCCAAACAGGAGACATGGCGTACTGGAGTCACCCTATCGATGTGCACTACGCGACTAAAGGACTCCAAGGCTGGCCGAAGCTTCATCTCCAGGTTTGGCACCAGGACTCTTTCGGACGCTGCCAGTTGTACGGTTACGGATACTGCCACGTCCCGTCCAGCCCCGGACATCACCGGATAAGCTGTGCGACCTGGAGGCCGCTCGGCTCCTGGCAAGAGCAGTTGTCCCAAATGTTCGTCGGCGGAGGACCGCAGCTCCGCAGCCCGGACCTGGTGTACAGCGGGGCGGACAGATACAGGCTGCACACCGAAGCCATGGGCACCGTGGAGCTGGAGCTCGGGATCATTATGAGACACTTTGACAAATATGGCGTCGAGAGTTAAAAAAATGACTTTAAGAACTTGTGATGTTATATATTGCAAGCTGAGATCTTACACGTTTTTACTAACGTTTTGTACTTTTGTATCAATTGCATTTCTTGTTTAACCTTTTGTAAATAAAGATATACTATCGTATTAACGAAGGTCTTCTCTTGTTGTGATGTCCTTGTCAGATCCCTCTAGCCCAATGTCAACTGAGATTAGCAGGTGTAGTTATTGGATGGAGAAAAGCAGCATTCAGTTATATCATGTTGATCTTCATCCGACAAATATTCACTAGACATTCCCTAAAAAGGTATTCAAAATGTTATATTGACATTTTCTGGACTAAAAGAGGAGAATACCCAGATCCCTCCACCCTACTAAACAATTGAATTCACTTTTGTGATTATAATATGTGAATATAATTGTCTAAATAAGGGTTACCTTGATGGACATTCTTAAGAAGACCTGCTCCACAAGTGGGTCTTTTCTTTATCCCAATGTTACTCAACACATAAAGATTGATTTGTTAGGTTGTGGGCAAGCTATAAAGATACAAGCCATGCATTAAACAGGGTGCGATTATAAGAACAACACTGCACTTTAGTCTTTCAAATGATCCATTTACTGACTTCCATATGTAATCTGATTTACTTTCAGACATATCAAATAAAGATCCCTACTCTAACTTAAAAACTCACAACTTTACTTGACATTTCCAGTAATAGGAAGTGACTAATTATGTTCTGTCAAGTCATATTTAAAGACACATGTAAAGTACTTGAGCTTCACTTGAATATTTCCATTTTCTGCTACTTTTGTATTCTTCTCTTGCTCAATTCAGAGGGGAATGCTTTACAATTATTGTACTCTACTACAATCATGTGGTACATTGCACTAACAGTCAATTAGCATGCATCAGATGGATGACAATAAATGTTCGACACATTACATATGATTTGTTGGTTGGTATGGATAAGGATAAGCCTTCATTAGTCCACTTTTACCACTTGCAACAAGATGTACACAGTAATGTAGTGAATCACTAATTAATATAATTGTAATTCTTAAATGAGCTATTCTTTATCATGAGTACTTTTGTTATTCTTTAGGTGGATCCTACTTAGGCCTGATAAGTGATGTAAAGTAACTAAGTGGATATACTCAAGTACTGTTCTTAAGTAACAGTACGTACACTGTTATTTAACAGTAACAATCTGCATAATGAGTACTTTTACTTTTGGTACTTAAGTATGTTTTGATGTCAATACTTTGTTTTACTTTTGTTGAGTAAAACTTTGAATGCAGGACTTTTATTTGTAACAGACTCTCTGATATTTCTACTTGTTCTGACATGATCTGAGTGCGTCTTCCACCCCTGCACACAGGGCTATAGTCAATGATATTGAGAGTTCCCATATCATGTAGCAGTAAAGAAAGACAGTGAAACTACAAACAAGAAACCAACTTCAGCTAACGCAAACTTACCGGGGCAGAAGACATCTTTCCTGATATCGGAGACAAACAGCCGGTGAGAGCGACTGATATGACCGTAAACCGAGTTTGACTGAACGGTAATTATTGAATACGGTAAAATTAGACAAACGATGGTGTGTTTTTAGCCCACCGGTCGGCTAACGTTAGCTTAGCAACTTTAGATTAGCCGGTAGTTCCTGACAACAACACAGTTCAGTTTACGCGCCGCGATTGGGCGCTGATTTCTTAAAGGGAAAGTTGTACCATTAATATCGTTTATGTGTAAAACTTTAAAGTCGCAGCGATAAACAAAATTCAAGTATAATGGAATGAAGCGCTTCATAGTTGGTTGATCGAGTTTCAATTATTGATTTGAAATAAATCTATTTAGATATTAGAGTGAAAACTTTCATTTTCAAGTGTAGTGACGCGTGGTTGTCGCCAGAGGTCAATAGTGTAGCATCGATGAGAAAACAGACAGTTTTCAAACAAATTGATGCATTATATCTTTGAAAAACCTACAGTAATTATGTTGAATTTAAATAGAGGGAAGTTGTTCGTGCAATAAGAAAACAACATCAATGTATACAACACAAATACACACAAATAAATAAACGATATTAAGTCATTAACTTTTAAAGTAGTGACTAACCAAAGCAAGTTTATGCTGACCGAAAAGATGTAGGCTGAAGTCTTTTCAGACCTACTTTTTACATGCATGACAAACGATAACGTTATACAGTTCCCCTATATTTGGATATTAAACTCAAAACTCCCCCTAAAATAATCATATAGCCTACACGAACCAGTGTTCACACTCAGTTAAAGAGTTGTTCTTCATCTTTTTTATTAAAATATTTTAAATGAATTTACTGCCTTATCTATTTTCTTTAAAAAAAATATCCACAAATGTATATACTTATGAATGTGAATACAGAACTTTTAATCGTAGTAAAGTATTTTTTCAAGTGCTTAGTTACGTACGAAAATAATCTCAAACATCAGTAGCCTATAGGTCCCTTGTTTTAAGTTTAGAGCAGGGGTGTCAAACTCAATTTCATCGTGGGCCACATTAACGGTTGCATTCAAAGGGCCGGTTATAACTTTAAGACTATATAAAAATACATTTATAAATATTTAATATAAAATAAAGTATTATAGTACATTATTGCCTCTGCATTGGATTATTTTTGGATAGGGTAATAACTTCATAATTAACTACTTCTGAAAGAAGAAGTCTAGGGCAAATAATTGCAAGGCTTTTCAGTGAGAATGTCACAAAATGATTTAAAAAGAAAAGCCAAATTCTGGAAGAAAAAAGGAAGTGACATTTTGAAAAAAAATGGCAAATTCTGGAAAAAAAGGCAAATTCAAAGAAAAAAGGCATATTTTGAAGAAAAAAAAGTAAAATTCGGAGAAAAAAGTTAAATTTGAGGTGCATTGTGGGACATGTAGTTTATGGGCAATGTGCTTCTGTAAATCATCATGTAACCGTATAATAAACATATTATATTCTTTGCAAGCTCTTGTGGGGCCACAGAAAATGAAGTCACAGGCCGGATTTGGCCCCCGGGCCTTGAGTTTGACACCCCTGGTTTAGAGCTTTCGGGTTTCCATGACCTTGTCTGCTTTTCCTGTTTAGTAATCAAGCCTTTTGTATCAACTGTGCAATAGCATGCTGACACCATAGTTTACCTAACTGAAAAAAGGTCAAACCAGGCAATTTGACATAATAAATATGTATGTAATCTTGTTTGTTTTTATAAGAAACGCCTGGCAACAACAGAAGTCTAAACATGTCATAACCCCACTGTACGCAAACAAATACTAATTTGTAAATGTGGTATTAAAGGATAATTCACTCAATAAATAACCAACTCTGTTCAAATATTAAATGACAACACAAACCCTTTGTCAAATCCCCTGTGGGCTGTGTCAGCTCGACAATCTTTAATACCACAAACCATTACATAAGTTCCCTTCCTGACCTCATATCACCATCTGTAATTATGTTGTTTTCATAGTATTCGAACACCGTTGTGTCATGTTTCTGTTTTAAGATGAATTTACAAGAACATGCAAACAAGAAAACAGCTGTTTATCTACGAAGTTAGTAAAATTCTCAAAGCCATGTAACATTTGCTTATACATCAAAGATATAAAGTAAATGCTGATATTCAAACAAATATACAAAACCTGCTGAACTTGTTCGGATAAGGATGTTAATAGCATAATCCTATCCTTTCATAGAGATAATAACTTCCTTTTTACTAATTTTACAAACCATATCACATATTAGTAAAGCGTCACATTTCCTGTTTGTTGCAACCTCAAGATGGTAATTTGGTTCAAGCCAAAAGAAGAGTCAGGAATTCGACCAACATACTTATGTAATAAAAGCAGGGAGTAGTTTTGACAAATGTAAAAGCCTTTCTGGAAGAATTGCTTTAATCATTTCCCCTCCCTCTGCCATCCTCACATTGATTCTAAATACATTAAAAACACCATCAACTCCTTCTAGTTTGTATGAGGCACACCCATGGGTTTATATTCTCTTAAATGGCATTAATAAATAAACTAAACACAGCACCCTTTGCACTGCCGTGTAAATCAAGACACTGCAATGCAACCAATCAGGAATTTGATTATGTGATGGCAACACTTCATACTTAAAAAGATATGCAGAGCTTACACCTACTCAGGAAACTCCAAGTTGAGCAAGAGCATTCTTAAAGTGGTGTACAATAATCTGGTGGAGAGCAACCTTTTATTTAATTTTTTTATTTAAAAGTTGAAAGTTTTTTACTTGAAACTTGAACATTTTGGCTTTAAACTTAAAAGTGTGTAGAAATGGAGCTGCAAATAAACTGTATTCGATTGTGTGGAGGAGACTTCTGAAGCAATTGGAAACAGGACTCAGAGAGACACGAGGAGAGCTGGAGCTTTGATGGCAAGCACTGATGGTTTATTTGGAGTTACGGCCGGAAAATTGACAAGACAGGTGGTGTGTCACGAGTGTAATAATCAACATTCTTCATCAGTGAGACTAAACAATTATGGACCCTGAATCTAACTAGAGCTCTCGTCCATAGAAAATAATGTGCGCCAGGGAACCTACGTCCCTGAACAGTAAACTACCTCATGGCGGCTTGTGCTCTGTCATAGACTGGCAACAACAATGCGCCCAAGCTGCCTCTCCTTAAGAGAGATAGCAGCAATACCCAAGGCCCTAGACCTATGCCATGGGAAAGGAGATAGTGAGAAGAGAAAATGACGAACTGTGTCAAAGGTTGAATACCTAAGCAAATTATTCCCTAACAGATTGTATTTGAGAAATGTAAGTAGCCTTCTTGAAACTTGATTCCAGTAATGAGAGGAGGAGGAAGGAGGAAGAAAAACAGACACATTAACTGGAATACATTTTTCAAAATCACATACAGCTGATTGTAATTAGACTAACACACCTAGGTGTTTCCCACTCACACACACGCACACGCACACACACATACTGTAGGGAATCTCTCCTATGCTAAGAAGATGTTTCAGGAACACTTCAAGGTCATAAGGCTTTAAAACAAACTTTCAGGCCTTCTCGTAAATCGTAAACCTGTGTAAACGTGTCCTAAGTTCCTGTGCACAGAGGTAATTGTTGCTGGGAACTAGTGCATACTTGCCTGCAAATAACAATGGGCTTGGTCAACAGACTCACCATTTCCTTTACAGAAAATGTTTTTGGTGTTTTGTTCTTCTTGTATCTGTTGATGTCTTCAGGTCATTTAGGATGACTATTTAAACCTCCAAATGGCTCTAATCTTATCTCTCTTACCCTCAACTTTCACCAGGAGCCATCTAGGACTGCCATAGTAAAGTCGTTTTGTTTGTCAAAGTGCATAAAGAATACCTCAACATTTTTGAAGATACGCATGTGTAAATGATCAAATAATCAATATAATATTTACACATAAGTTTGTTTTGGAGATCATAGTGTGTGTCAATAATGTGATATGTAAGGGGAACCAAGTTTACAAATTACTGAAATGCACCGTGCTGTTATCATTTTAAAAATAAAGGCTGGTCTTTTTGTTAGAAGTGACCCTCTCACTACAAATACATGTCTAAGTTAAAAGATCTTGATATATTGGGATGTAAAAAGTATGAATTCTCTCCTTTATTTGTGTTCCTCTCTGTTGCTGGATTTTGAAAGGTGACATCAACCCCAAAGGTAACCATTATTATAGATCTGTAAGGCTGAGGTTCCTGGTAATAGAAAGTGACTTCACAAAAACGTGTGAAACCATGTGTGTCATGTGATGACAGCATGTTCGTGTTGAGTATGTGACACTCTTTGACTCAAGTTTACTTATCAATACTAAACCAAAATTAAATTATACCTCCTTTAGTCTCGTTTTTAGTCTTACGCATCCGACCTGGAAAACTTTGCAGCCAATCTTATTTGTTACAGTGTACCGTGCACCAGGTCCTTATTCAGAATTCTTATCAGAATTCTCTGAGTTTTTATCAACTTTGGTACTTAAAACAGATAAAGTAATTATCGTAGGTGACTTTAATATTCATATTGACGATGATACAAATAGCCTTACTGTTGCATTTAACTCTATATTAGATTCTGTTGGTTTTCGTCAGAGTGTAAATAAACCAACCCACTGCTATAATCACACTCTAGACCTTGTTCTGACTTATGGTATTGAAATCGAGCAACTATTAGTCGAACCGTATAATCCTGCTTTATCCGACCATTTCTTAGTAACTTTTGAAGTACTGTTACTAGACTACAAAGCATTAGTCAAAAGCTCCTGCAGCAGAAACCCATCTGTTAGTGCTATAGCCAAATTTAAGGAAGAGATTCCACCAATACTTAACTCGATAGCATGTCTGCATGTAAGGGAGGAAACTTATACAAAATGTACACCACCCCAAATTGATCATGTTGTTGATAGTGCTACAGATGCGCTGCGAATAAAATTAGACTCTGTTGCTCCTTTGAAAAAGAAGAAAATAAAACAACATAGATTAGCTCCATGGCATAATGCCGAAACCCGCAAAAATAAAGCAAAAGTCGAGACAACTTGAAAGGATATGGCGTTCCACTAAACTTGAAGAATCTCGTTTAATTTGGCATATTACTCTCAATGAATATAAGAAAGCACTGCGTAAAGCGAGAGCAGCCTACTACTCTTCATTAATAGATGAGAATAA